ACAATCTTTATTATCTAATCACACAATAATTAAACAATTTTTAATAGCTAGATATCTAAATTTACCTATAAAAACTATATAAATATTATTACAAAATCTATTTAACACAATAGATATTCCATTATCTCTACTATACTCTTTATCTCTACCCACACCTGCTCTATCAGAACAATTAGATATATTACCAACACAGCTAACTAGCACTTACAACAATTTCCATAAAAAGCTAAACATACAAGAAATAACAGTTTTACAATGTTAGTCTTTATGAAATTTGATTGGTTAAATCTAATATAGCTGCGTATGTAAAATTTGTAATTTATTTAATACATTATTACCTGATAATGTTGAAATTTGAACTTGTTTGTTTAGAGTTAAGTTAGGAGTTAAGGTTAGAGTTTATTATAAAAGAGTATAAAAGTAGTAATTGTGAAGTTTATATTTTCAAATCAAGACACCAAATTTCAGTATCATCCATCTTAGTATTATCATCATTTATTATCACATTAACACAGTTAAATAATCACTTTATATTGTTAACTATTTTAAACAAAAAAAGTTCTAATTTTTCATTATCTATATTATTAAAAAAATTGGACTTTTTGCAAGGTGGACAGACATCCTTGCGTCTAAATCGTTGGATTCACGTGAGTAACGTTTATATTACCTATATAAATAATTTTTTTAATCGTATAACATATCTTGCAAATCTATATGGCATATTTGTCTCGAAATAACGCCCCGGGTGTGATTTAAAATCTTGGCCTGAATTAAGCTTAATTTAGGTTGAATTAAACTTAATTCTGGCCAACAATTTAAACTACGCCCTGGGGTGTTATTTCAAGTATAAATTCTGTGACGGGTCGCTTAGTACGAAAATAAAAAATTCTTCGAAGACAGGTTCGACAATACTCTGAAGTCTTTCACGACACAAATAAATCAATACTGTTTCACATATTAATTTACTTGGCTAAAACGTTAGTTAAGCCATAACAAAATGCTATCCACGTGGTTTGAAAAACTATTTTCAATAAACATTAATTCTCTTGAATATAATAAATTTACAGACCTTGGTTTAAGGGGTTGGCAGGGTTCTTAAATGCGAGCAAATTAACAGTTGCTTAAGTCCCGATATTGATTTAAGTTTAAATAAAAATTATCGTGGCTGATGCTAATATTGGCCGATGTTGATATTTGGGGTCTCAATTTGAATCTACTAAACCCACCAAAATCTACATATTATAGATGGACGAAATTATTTTCGCAATAACGAAATTGACGAAATTATAATAAAATCGCTGACGAAATTTGACGAAATATGTATTTCGTCAAATTTCGTTAATTTCGTCACTCATCACTCTTTTATTAACAACTCTATCTATGAATTTTCATATAACCCTACTAAAAAACGCATCACAAAATTTTGGATCAAAATAAGGTCAATCATCCTCGCCAATATGGTATCATAAAATTTGCATTGTCATTATGCACTTCAATATCCGTCAGCGAAGCGACGGGTTACACCTAGTTCATATTAAAATCTAATGGACCTATTGTGTTTATGTGAAAATTGCACTTGGCCATCAATAATACATAATAATGCCTAATACTACAGTGATCGCAAAGAAGATCCGGAAAAATAATATGCAACAATTTTTTTCCGTATTTAAGAATGACTAGATTATTCTTCATTCTGGTTTAAACGAATGCTAAAAATTGCAAGATTGTCGAAATATTGCAGAGAATGTCCCATAATGTAGATCGTTTGATCAACAACAATGGGCTTTATGATTATCTCTTCTAATTAGCAGTTTCAACTTAGCATTGGACCTAAAAGTTTACAGATTTGCTGGACGCCATGCACAAATAATTTTCTTAAATTACATACAATTAGTTTAAGATATATACAGTATGTAAATTCCGGGCCTATTCTAGGAATGTCTTTTCTAGTTTCATACTGATAGAAATCTCTAACATAAAGATAAATTATTCTATTAGTATTTCCATTTTTGAC